ATTATAGAGATGGAGGAGGTAGCGGAGGGACAGGTCACTATCGGGACGGAGGGGATGACGGAGGGACTGGTGGCTATCGAGACAGAGGGACTAGTGGTTATCGGGACGAAGGGGGTGACGGAGGGGTCGGTGGTTATCAGGGGGAGTGGGTCAGATGGGGTATGTTGACTCATCGTGGCCATTAGTTGCTGCATTTGATTCATTTTTAGATGACACGATAGGGATGGAAGAGCGAGAGAGGATACCTGTGGTGGAGGGGATGCTCGCGCAGGATATACCTGAGGACGTGGAGGGGGTACCCAAGGAGGAGAGGGTACCGGAGATGGAGGTGGTATCGGAGGTGGGGGTGGAGGTGGTACCCGTGCAGGGGATACCCGGGGATGCCGAGGGGGTACCGGAGGAGGATAGGGTATTGGAGCTGGAGGTGGTACCCGTGCACGGGATAACTGGGGATGTCGAGGGGGCACCGGAGGAGGAGAGGGTACCGGAGGTGGAGGTGGTACCCGAGAAGACGCCAGACTCGCCGGTCGTGGTCTTTGTGTCGGAGGAGGTGGTCCCGACAGCGGGCGAGGGGGTCGTCCCGATGGCTGGGGAGATGGAGATTCCCGAGGCACATGAGGAGCGGGTGGTCGGCAAGAGGCCAAGGGTGCCATCACAGTACGTTCTTTCTCCGTTTACCGCGGAGGCGAAGAGGAGAAGGTTCGTCGACGGGACGCACCGGAATTTATTCAGGGAGGTGGACCACGCCAAGTGGAAAGCCTTTGAGACAGAGTGGAGAGCACTGCAGCCTGGGTCAGTTTTGTATTTTATGTAATTACTTTAGTACGCAGACGCAGACGCTGACACATGTATACTTCATATAACTAAAAATTCTGTTCTTATTTTTTCAGGGCCAGCCGCACGATTGCTGAGAAGACGATCTCAAATGCTTACAAGTGGTTCCACGACATCACCACTTCGGGGGCTTGGCTCGCCGACGATGTAAGTGAAATGAAAATATTGTTATTTATTATGTACGTTCGAAATCAAATTTTTGAATGAAATTCATAGGTTAACTCCTTTCTTTATTGGTGTTTCTTGATGTAGCACATCGACTTGAGCATGGATTTACTACGGGATCGTGCTGAAAGACGTCCAAAATCGTTCAACATTCCTGGCAAACTCATATTGAACACCGAGTTTATTCGTGCCGTTGACATTGAGTACCAGTCGTTCCAGGCTATGGGTAGCGAGTACACGGTGTCGGAATATATGATGGAATGGGTCGTAGGGATGTGGCCGAGTGTCGGTGGGAAGCCATGGGATGGCTGTACGCATATGTACGTACCAGTATGTCTGAATCATCACTACATTACAGTGGAAATCGTATTCACCGACTCCACGATGTATGTGTACGACCCCGATCATTCATGCCTGACACAAGGCCAGCTCGAGCAAAATCTAGAGTCGCTGTCTGTGATCGTTCCCATGATGGCTAGACGAGCGAACATCACTGTAAAAGACAGATTGGCCACCGTGCGGAACACGACGACGACGAGGCAACAAATATCGTAAGTGTTTGTAATTTTCTTTCTGTCATTTACATCTTAGTTTCTAACTAATTTTCGATGTGCTAATACAACATTGTTTAATTGTAGGGGTGATTGCGGCATATTCGTCATCAAGTACATAGAATTTTTGAGTGTGGCACATAAAGTTGATGCAATCAACCAGGCATGGATACAAAATTGGAGAAATAAACTAGCATGTGATTTATTTGAATTTAATGGGGATCCGTAAATAATTGTACATATTTTTACATTTATTTAAACATTGTACAATTCATTCATTTATTTGTAATTACGAAAAATTGTAAAATGTTGATTGCATATGTAATATTTAAATATTTATTTTACAATGTAGCCTACCGTATAATGCAGTTTCTAGAAAACGTTTCGATTTCAAATAATTAACATAAATAATATGCATAACAAATGAATGTAATGAATGAAATATTTGAAAAAAAATACTAAATCTAATAATTCGCATAAATAATATACATAAATAATTAACGTCAATGTTATAAATAATTACATTGCCAATAGTTATTAAAATTACACATCCGTTACATTGTTATGTAGAGGAATCTGACTTGTACAATATCTTCTAGTATGCCCTGTTGCACCGCACCTACGCACTTACGAGGTTGGGGAAACTCTCCGGTAGATGGTATTCTAGACGTACGTGTACGTCCAGGAGTACGTGGTCCAACTGCTGGTGGCAACAAGTT